ATATTTTTATCTTCCCTAACAATGCCAGATCTCCCTGTTGGCATAACAGGCGAGTGCTGCATCACTTTACAAGTAGAATCAAGCCTAATCCACAGTCAGCGTTTTCTTCACAGAACGTGTAGGAAATGTACTTGGGTTAAACACTCAAAGGTTTCCTTTTATTGTATAGTTTGTCTTTTAAATGGTACCTGGTATTTCTTAAAAGTATATTCACAGTGTTCAATTATGTCACTGTATGTTTTTCATCCATATTTTAATCAACTTACTATTTATTTAGGATAAATGCACAGATTTGCTATTTTCCCCTCCTGTAGTGATTGTATTACAATTTTAAAATTGAACTGAAACTAGTTACACAGGGTGCTCTAGCAGAGCCTTTTTGCTCTTTAAAATAGAGAAAAATAGCCTACTATTTTCATAAAATAAAAATAAATTCCTCCCTTTTCCCAAGCCGAAGGTAAAATTGTGAACTGTGAATTATTTCTCAATCAGTTGAGTCTGGAAAACAGTATCACTCAAATTACACATAAAACCCACTAAACTGAAAAAATTTCACCTTGATCGTATAGGAATTACCTCAGATGACCACCGTGCTAACCAAGCAAAACCAGTTGTGTATGCCCTGAATAAACTTAAAATTCAGTAACTTCAGTCCATTTTTTGCAGCCAAATAAAATTTCAAGCATTTATTTGTGAATGTTTCTGCTACCTTTAACTGTCATTTATCATTATAAAGTGGTGAGACAATATGCATGCTCTTATTGTCAAAAACTATCGTTCAATGTGCTAATAAACCTATTATTAATAGCTATATTATGAGTTGCAATAGATCACACTTTCTGTCAGTTAATGCATCTAATAATTTAATAGAGATGTTGGTGAAACTTTGGAATATTTTGTAAATCACTTGTCTTTGGCAAGTTGAACTTGGAGAGTTGAACCTTTCCACAATGGCCACCTTGAGGACAGAAGAAAGTAGTTTTTGTGGAGAGGTGGCGATTGTAGAGAGGTTTAAATGAACGTATGGACAGCCTGCCAAGACCAAAAAAATAGTTACGGTGGAGAAGTTGTCATTATAGAGAGGTTGCCAGTAGTGGAGGTTTGACTGTATTCTCTTGTCCTTCCAACAGCTTGCGTGTGTTATGAAACCTGTAAAAATGCTAGAAAGTGTAATCTAAGGCTCAACAATCATTACTTCTTGACTTTAATTAGATGTTAATTTCTTCTCATAGTAGGTTAATATGATGTAAAATTTAACGATTTTGCACGTTTATAACAAACTTCTGCTTCTTTTTTCCGATCATGTCCAAATAAACGGTTACAACAACAGAGAGAGAAAACAAAATACACTATTATATATATGCTAATTCCTAAAAAAGAAAGTTTGAATAACAAAAGGAAAAGACACACCTGGACCAATCATAGATCAAATTAACTATTCCTGTGAAATATTTCAAATTTAAAATAACAACGGCAAACATAATATGCATAATGACGACAAAATTGCCCCGAATTCATAGTGAAATTTGTCATACTGAAATGGATCCCTGTCTGAAGTCAGTTTTCCCAATCAGAGCACTAATCGGCAAAGGAGTGCCATCCCTGGCGACTGCTAGCGCTTGTGAGAGTGTTTTGTCAATCTCTCCAGTTAATCACTCCAAGATCCCTGAGAAGAAACCCTTTCCCTCCATGTCCGGCTCAGCCGTTTTGTGATAGTCTGTGAACTGTTGAGGCATCCCAATGAACACATATACCTTGGCCTATATCAGTGTACATATTCTCCATACTGTTCTCAGTAGGTTTCCTATGATACTGACGATGAGGATTTGCTTAACAATCAAGTGTTTCTTTGACTCGAATCAAGTGAAGTCGGTAGACAGCCATCCTGAATAAAGTTTGGGCCACGGATTTTTTCATGGCAATTCGGATGGTGAGAGTCAAAAGCGGGATATTTGTCGGTGTGGGTCGATTTATGATAAACAGTTGTCTCTAATTTATCCTGTTCCGCTTTACAAACATTTCAGTCAAGAAATGGCAAGTGTCTATCCTTTTCACGTTCGAGGATGAGTTGAACAGACGGTTCCACTTGATCTTCACTTGATTCTAGGATTGAGGAGAACAAATGTTTCCGATGTCTTAAACGCAAATAGCTTTACCAAAACATTTCTGCGTAACTGTCAGAAACCAGTTACGACTAGTAACACTCCTGATGAGAAGGAAACAGCGACTGGTTTTGCTGTTATTCCTTACTTCCGGGGTGTTACGGAGCCCATCGAGAGAACTTTTTAGCTTCATCGTTAAAGTTGCTCAAAAACCTTTTCAGACTTTGGGGCATATTTTTTTCAAACCCAAGGATCCTGTTATGAAAGAACAACGAACGCCTCGCGCAAACAGCGTGTTAAACTCGGCCACGACTGCTTCTCAGAATGGGGCGCGGTCCCAGCGGGGGTCCCTCAAGGTACAAAACTGGGGCCGTGGCTGTTTACCATCATAATCAACGAGCTGGATGTTCCTGGCATCGATCTCTGGAAGTATGTTGACGATACCACTATTTCGGAGACGATAAGCAAGAACCAAAACAGTTACATTCAAGCTGCTGTTGACACCCTAGCAAGCCGTGCGACCGAGGATAAGTTTCAACTAAACGAGACGAAATGC